GTAAATTCTTCATCTCTTTGTTATTACCTGGAGTTGATAGGAATAGGTTCCTTCACAGTATTCTTTCTAAGGGTAGCTTGTGATTTGAACAATTTCATTCTTAACATCTTGAATACAAGGCATTCAGTAATTTGAACTACTAATTAGCTGTTTATTTGAACATATTTTACCTTCTGGTTGTTCTAATATTGTCTCTCTCTATCTCAAGTTTAAAAATTGATCTTCCTGAAGAGCTACTGGTGACCTACAGGAAGAAGGCTGAAGTCTTCTACCTGTAAGAAATTATATCAATAATTGATTTTAAGTGGGACTTCTTTAAAGATCAGCAGTCCTGAGCCACTAAACATCACCTCTTCTGAACACATGATCAGATCAAGAGCATTTCTTTCATAGTTCCTCCATATGTGTGTCCACACTTGCTTTGTCTTTCTGCACAAACACAAAGGGAAACTTTATATTCACCTCAATGTCTGAATATCTGTATTAGAAGAAATAGCAGAAACAGAAGTTTAACTGAAAGAAAAAATCGAACCCCTTTACTGCAAGGAATAACTTAGACAGAAATTTTCAAACATCAGATAATTACTCAAATTCCCATTAAACATCAATACAGATTGGGTGCTGACCTTTCCAAAACTCTCTTAAAATTCTTAAGTATAATGACACTAAGTTAAATTCTCTAAGCACAAGTTGCATGACAATGTTATCCCCTACTGAAGAAGGAACAAAAAAAAAAAAAAAAAAAAGATGAAAATATCAACCAGCAGAACATCCTCAAAATATTGTGTACTCCCATGACTTTACACAGACATCCCTTAATTAACGGGCAAAGCATACAGTCTCAAAAGTAGTTACTATTTTTTGTACAAAAATGTTTTATACATACACTGACTCAAAAAAAAAGAACTTAAGTATGGAATTTCAAGTGAGAAATTTAAAATACATTAATAATACAATATAGAAATCTACTCACAAAATGATCTTAAATAAATATACAGAAATACAGAGAATGATTTAATATCATTTTAGCTGATATGAAGCTGGCACCACCTAACAATAAATCAAACTTTTTACTTATTTCACAACTTCTAGCACACCCTTCCCAGGATTGGGAACAAAGAATAGCAATGGAAATAGCAAGGTAGTTATTACACATCATAAATGGTGAGACTGGGAGAGTCCACAGGAGCATTCAGAGACTTCCTTAAGAAGTGATTAAAACAAGAAGCATACTGTAGGAAGTTACTCTTGCTTCTTCCTCCTCCCTCCCAAGTTTTCCATTTACAGACTTGTAACAGAGTATCTGGGCTTTGGGGCATTATTTAATGCAAGATTCTCTGCCTTTCCCCCTCTTTAAGGTGAGGTCATCACCACTACTCTGAAATGTCTGGATTAGCTTTAGCACTGTATTGTGTCTATACACACAGTAATAAAGATGAATCATTCCTATTTTTACTGTACCTGTAAACCAAACAACTGCACCTTTAAAAATGTTCTAATATAATGTAGTATTTAAAGTCAATTTAGATAAGCTATAATACACAAATACTAAATATATCCAAAGGAATAACCACAGTAGCAACCTTTCAATTTCCATGGAAACCCTACTCAGAACACCAGATACAAACCCTAGACAAACCTTAATGTCTTAAACCTATATAAATTCACACTTCAAAGATGCAGTCTACAAACAAAAAAGAGACTGCAGTATGAAGTACCAATATTTAAAAAAATTTAGCAAGCAACAGAACTGCTGATGCTCCTGATGCACAGAACTCTTCACAGAGTCAGCCCATAAAGCATCCCTCACAGCAGGGTTGCTATGCTAATAGCAGCATACAGAAAACAACACACCATGGCAGTGATGAAAATAACTTGGAAACTGACATCTTCCCATAGAATGTTTTTAAAAGGTTAAAAATATACCAAAGCTCCCAACAACAAAAAAATGACAAAATTTAAAAATTGCTTTTTCCAGCAAGACACTTGTGGCCTGGTGTGATGGTGCAGAAAGGACATCTGCACAGCTGTTATCCTATTAAAAAAAAAAAAAGCATAACAACCCACAAAAAAAGCCCCCCAGACAAAATACAGAGGAAGAAAACCCAACAAAAAGGCAAAATAGAGGGCCAGTTAAGGGACAATCTCTGATCTCTTCAAGCTCACTCCCTATCAGAAGGAAGTTCTTGGCCAAAGGTTAGACTTTAGAAATGCACATTCAGCCAAGAAGAGCATTAAAGAACAACGTAAGACATGCCATGCGGCAGCTGATTTTATTGTTTTTCTCCTCCAAACAGGCATTAAAAAACTGTTACAAAGGTAACTTCCTAGGACTAAGAAATACCCTGCCTATAACACCACATTAACCTGACTACCTGGATTTGGTACTTTAAGACCTTTTCCAGAACCCTGAAAAAAAAACACAAGCCCATAAACCCCTAACACTACTTCCTGGACAGTCTCTGTACACCTTGAACCTCTGAGTTGCAGAATCTTGTAAGTCACTCCTCTTCTCATTGGAGAGGGTGAAGTTCATGATTTGTAGAAGGTGAAAATGAAGCAGGAACTAGGTGGAGGCCAGGCTGGGTAGTAAAGACCACTTTGTGGCTACTGCCAATCAAACAGCAGGACAGAAAAGAGCACTGACAACTCACCCACTCGGGGAGCATGGGTGTCATTACTTGGATGTGTAGATTAAGGAAAGCCCCAGTGTTCCACAGGTTGAAGCAAAATCATGATGCAAGTATTCTGCTAAACATTTATGAGGAAAGCTATGACTGGGTCAAGATCCAATATCCTGTAACCACATCACAAACAGCTAATGCCTGTTCCAACAGTACAATCCAGTCCCTCAAATTACACTGCACAGAAGACAGTTTACAGACAGGATGCACAGAAAAGCAGTTCCACTGACACTCTCCTACAAATTGAAGGGGCCATCCTGGATTTCTGAAGGAATGCAATACATAAACTCAGGGATTTTTGGTTCCCGTCAACCTTTTAACTAATGCGTGACTGCTTCTATCTCAAGAACATATTTTCCTTTTCTCCTGGAATAATATTGAGCCAATTAGTTGACTCTTAGTTGCCACTGCACTCACATGAATTTAAGTAATTCTTTAGTATATCCACCTTGTGTTTGACACATTTCATATCAAATGAACTATCACAGAACGGTTTGGGTTGGAAGGGACTTTAAAAATACTCTAGTACCAAAACCCTTGCCACAGGCAGGGACACCTCCAAATAGACCAGGTTGTACAAAGCCCCATCCAATCTGGCCTTAATACTTCCAGGGAGGAGGCATCAACATTTCCTCTGAGCTTCAAAATCTTACTCAGATTGGGTAGGGGGGCATAGGAGGGAAGAAATCAGTCCTCTCTGTTAGAATGTGACTGGGCTGCAAATTAAGTGGTCTAAAAACTGACAGCCAGTTAATACTGTAGACATAATCTACATCTGTCTAGCTTGAAATCTAAAAGTCTAAGTTTCACCTTCAACCACACTACCTTAGCAGAACAGATGTGAAAAGAAGCCATAATGTGGAGAAAAGCTAAATGGAATCAGAGATATCCACTGATGAGCAGGTGGAACTCAGATACATCAGTTTCTGTTTTCACACTATGGAGGACAGAAACCAACTGGTTCACTTTCTAGGGGGCACACAATAAATTGGCACTCCCATTGACCGTGTCACTCCATTTTCTTTACCAAAAAAAAAAAAATCCTGTTGCAATGACAGTCAAATAATAGCTGAGGAAAGCGGGTACTAAGCTTGAGGGTAACAGACTTATATGTGCATGGTTATCAAGTCAGTGTGGACACAACTGAAGTACTCTTCAGTTCACCTACAAAACACAGAGGAATACAGAAATAATCTTCAAATTGTCAGTAACACTGTAAAGGGTTTTTTTTTTTATGTAAAGTAAATCAGGTCTTGTATATCTCCATGTCCCCTGGAGAAATGCTCATCCAATCAGCCAGTCAATTACTTTCAACACAGGGTAGTCAGCTCCAATTAATTTTGGAAAGATAATACAAATTGTTTTCTAATTTGTTCAACTGCTTAGCACTGAAGTGCATCAAAGCACGATTTCATTCGTTCCTGTCCTGACAGTGAGGCATAAGAACACAACGTCTTTGTATGACAAAGCAATCTCTGATGAGCAATATTCAGATTCTCAGCTAAAAGTTAACTCTGAAATGCACACTGCCATCACAGAACTAGAATTACAGGAAAGACAGTTCTACCATGGGTACATTACTGTTGTGGAAATCATTATAATCATGAATAATTATCCTTCTCAAAAGCTACCCGGAACACAGAACTTTCACTGATCAAAAAACAGATTAAAGAAAAAGGGGAAAAAACAGCTGGAAAATCCTTGGTAATATTAGATCACAAAATACAAAAGTTTTGACTGTTGATAATCTTGTTGATAGTGCACTATCAGCACTATCTTAAAAATGAGACTACATGAAATGAAATGCCATTATTCATTCTTTAAAAGCCATCGAGTAAAGTGTTTTCAAGATTGATAGTACAGGAAGGATAGTAAACAGAATATATGCAGCCCCAAATTCTTGGTCTCAGACATTCTGAGTATACACAACTGCACTGCACATCAGAAACAGTAACATGATTTTTAGAAGTGACAGCACTCATTTTAAGGGAAGTATAATTTCACTATCACCCAGCAGAATAAATTTGGCTGAGATGTCCATTCAGGCAGATGGACTTGGATATCTGGATCTTAATCAAGACAGACACATTAACATTCTTATCCTTTAAAGATTCAAAGATTCCAAACCAAGTCCTACAGCTTACCAGAAAAATAAGAATCAAAACCTAACCACCAATGCATGTGTTTAAAGTGAAAAAGGAAACTTCAAGTATAAATTTTAAAGTCCTACATGAAAACTGAAATTATATTTTGATACACACACACACTCTGCCCAATAATATTTTTGCAAACACACAGCAAGCTTTGAAAGGTTACCTGGTAAAAATACCATCCACAATACCAATTGTTGACTCCTCTGCAGGAACGTAAGAGCCAATTTGTGCCATGACTGTGATCAATGCAACTTGCTTTATATAGGAGCTCTTTCCTCCCATGTTGGGTCCAGTTATTATCATCACCCTTTCACCATCTCCCTGGAAACAAAACAGTTGTCAAATACGTTGTCCCACACATAGTGCTTTTGTAAGACAGTCAGGTATGTGTATGTGTTTAGAGGGATATAGGACATGTCCTCAGGACTAAACATTGTGTTTCTATGTGAACAGCTTCCTTCATTCTTGGAGTTCATTGTGTTCACTTGACATTATGAAGACTCAGATGTAAATCTTCCCAATACCTCTCCAGGTTGGTGAGAGAGAAGCAACACAATCCGGACAGGGTGAGGGAGAACCTTCCCTTTCCTCCTTCAAGGAGCCAAGAAAACACTCCAAGAACTTTCTGTTCAATTTTATTTGGAAAAAGGGAGAAGTTTATAAGCTTTCAACATAGCCAGTACTGTCTTTAGTTTGGTTGTGATACAGATTCCTCTCCAGTTGGAGTTTTCACTGCCAAATGAGGAGAAGATTTGGCAGACAAAGACCTGACCTAGATTTTATATCTATTCAAAATTGCTTGCCTTGGTACAGCATACGCACATTCGAAGAGACTGGCTACAACAAGAAATTAAGACATTGCTGAGTCTGGCCATACCTGACTGCAGCACAGATACTGCAAGCACACTGTATCCAGCCTCTAATCAGTGCATCTAACCACTGAAAGCATATGGAAAATGAAATCAGATGTGAGAGCTCGTCTCTGCTCTAAGACCCTCTATGGTACTGCTACAAGTCTATGGCTCCAGAATAAAACTGTTCCTCTGGTGCAAGACAACTACTAACACAAAATTAAAACTCATCAGTGAATCTATAAAGCTTCCCCATAGCCTGAATCAAGACTAGGAAATTAAGTTATGCAACGACTTCAGGCAACTAGACTTCTTTCTACTGGGTACAATACAGTGAAATTCAACAACTGATGAACTACCCAGAAGTCAGCATATTGCACTGCCCCATGGGAGGGGCATGAAAGAAAAGATAAATTGTACATAATGAACACTAGCCATGCTACTTAGGAAACCTGGAACTGATGAGGCACTGTGACAACACCACCAACAAAAAAATCTCCACAGAACAAACCTCACGATCTTTAAATATTCATTTTTCCACTGGGCTTTCATTGTGTTAACAGGGAGGCAACTAAAATTCAGATAGGACTGTCACACGCCATAATCCAGATCATATAGAACACACATGCCATCAGTATTTACTATATGTAAAAAGCTGTTTAGCTTCTGCCAAGATACATCTGCAGCAACCCTGGCCATAAGAAAATCATAATAAAGGCAAAATCCAGAAAATGCCAGTATCAGGAATAAAGGATGGATGTAATAAAATGAGTACGATTATATGGTAACAAAATTCATAACATTCTGGTCCCACAGGTATAGTTTCAATACTGCTACTAAAACCTTATCAGGACCACCATTTGGCTCAACACAACAGAATTTATAGATACTTTAAACCAGAATGAATTAACCTGTTAAAATTCACAAATTTCTTGCATGTGTTGAGGTTCCCTCCAGGGTCCCTCCAACCATGCTGTTAGACTGGTGGCTCGTTTGCAAAGCCAGCTTTCAGAAAGAACATATGCTGTAACATCAGACCAAAGAACCCATCTGCCTTCACAATTGCATGCAACCATAAGCTAACATCTTACTGGAATTCATGGCTGAAGTTAAAAGTACTAAAAGAATCCATGAATATTTGCAGAGGAGAGAGGGAATGAAAGAATAAGGCATTTATTTCAGGGCACTGCAAGAAAGCTTTTCCTAAAGTTAGATATGCAACAACATTTCAGCTGAAAACATGACAGGAAATGCATTTTCCAGCTGATTCAAACATATCACTTTAATACTGGAGGCATTTTAATAAACTGGGTTCCCATCCACTTCTCAAAAAAGAGCTAACTCAAACCAGCAGTAGATGCAAAAGTGATTCTACCATGACTACTTGGTTTTGTAATATTCAGTATTTAGAAAGTCAGCATAAGAATGGGACTAGCAAAGGAAAGTGCATGGTGATTACTGAATGAAATGCTGAATTTTTTGCAAATGCCATCTGTCACTTGTTTGGAGTTGACAAACAATTTTGAAAACATTCCCTGAAATATTGCACAATATCTGTATCATTGTTCAGTATAGAACAACACTTAAAAATATCTCCCCCAAAATAAAATTTGAATAGTGCTTATCACAGCAATGCTCCACACTGACATCTGTTTCAGATCTTTCCTCTATTTACTGTATGAAAAGGCAGTTAAATATTTCAGGTTGCAAAGCTGCAAACGTGTCTTTTATATCCATTAAGAACAGATGTGTAGTATTTAAAAACATATCATAGAATCACAGAGCATTTTGGGTTGGAAGGGACCACTGAAGGGCATCTAGTCCAACCCTCATACAATGGACATCTTCAGATGGGTAGAGCAGGCTGCTTAGAACCCTCTCCAGCCTACCCTAGAATGTTTCCAGGGATGGGGCATCTACCACCTCTCTGGGCAACCTGTGCAAGTGTTTTAAAACCCTTAGTGTAAAACATTTATACCTCATATATTAGTCTAAATTTTCCCTATTTTAGTCTAAAACCATCACCCCATATCCTATCGCAAGAGGTCCTGCTAAAAAGATTGTGCCCACCTTTCTTACAGGTCTCCTTTAAGTACTGAAAGGCCACAATAAGGTGTCCCCAGAGCCTCTTCTCTGGGCTGAATGACCCCAAATCTCTTCTCAACTCTTTTTCATAGCAGAGGTGTTCCATTCCTCTGATCATTTTTATGGCCCACCTCTGGACCTGCTCCAAGGGTCCATCCATGTCTTTCCTGCACTGAGGACTCCAAAGCTGGACACAGGACTCCAAGTGGGGTCTCACCAGAGCAGAGGGTCAGAATCACCTCCCTTGGCCTGTTGGCCACATGTTTTTTGATGCAGCCCAGCATGTGGTTGGTCTGTGTTCTGGGCTGTGAACACCTGTTGCCGGCTCGTGTCCAGCTTCTCACCCCCGAGGCTCCCCAAGGCCTTCACTGCAGGGCTGCTCTCAACTCCTTCATCCTCCAGCCTGTATTGGTATTGGGTATTGCCCGAACACAGATGCAGGACCTTGCACTTGGCCTTGTTGAACCTCATGAGGTTCATACAGGCCCAGTTCTCGAGCTTGTCCAGGTCCCTCTAGATGGTATCCTGTCCCTCAAGTATGTCAAACACTCAGCTTAGTGTCATCTGCAGACTTGCTGAAGGTGCACTTGATCTCACTGTCTGTGCTATTGGTGAAGATATTAAACTTTAACACTGGTCCTAGTATGAACTCCTGAGGGACATCACTTGTCACCAGCCTCCATCTGGACATTGAGCCATTGACTGCTACACCCTGGATGTGACCACCCAAACAATTCCTTATTCACTGAACAGTCCACCCATCATATTGATCTCCCTTCAATTTAGACAGAAGGATGCTGTGGGGGAGAGTGTCAAAGGCCTTACAGATGTCTAGATAGATGACACCCATAGCTCTTCCCTCGTCCACTGATGCAGTCACGTCATCACAGAAGGCTACTAAATAGGCATCAGGTAGATAGACTGGTAGAATCAGAATCCTTTTGGATGGAGGAGACCTTTAAGATGATCAAGTCCAACCACTTACTCAGCACTGCAAAGCCACTCTAAACCAAGTCCCTCAGCACAGATGTCTAGATAGATGACACCCATAGCTCTTCCCTCGTCCACTGATGCAGTCACGTCATCACAGAAGGCTACTAAATAGGCATCAGGTAGATAGACTGGTAGAATCAGAATCCTTTTGGATGGAGGAGACCTTTAAGATGATCAAGTCCAACCACTTACTCAGCACTGCAAAGCCACTCTAAACCAAGTCCCTCAGCACCACATCTACACATCTTTTAAATACTTCCAGGAATGGTGACTCCACCATTTTCATGGGCAGCCTGCTCCAGGGCTTGACAGACCTTTCTGTGAAGAAATTTCTCCTAATATCCAACCTCTGCCTCCCCTGGCACAACTAAAGCATATTTCCTCTTGTGCTATCACTTGTTAATCAGAAACAGAGACCGACCCCCACCTGGCTCCAACCTCCTTTAACGAAGTTGTAGAGGGTGATAAAGTCTCCACTCAGCCTCCTTTTCTCCACACTAAACAACCCCTATCCCCTCAGCTGCTCCTTGAAAAACTTATTCTTTAAACCCTTCACCATCTTCACTGCCCTTCTCTGGACATACTCCAGCACCTCAATGTCCTTCCTGGAGTGAGTGGTCCAAAACCCAACTCAGTTCTGAGATGTGGCCTCATGTATTTAACACAAAATGCCTAAAGGACATTAATTTAATGGAAAGATTTTAGTTCTTCAGGAAAAAAAAAAAGGAGGAAACAAAAAAAAATATGCTAAATGCCCAATATATTTAACAGAAATAAAGCTGCCTCCAAGTCTGTTTTGTCAGATTATGGAAGGCTGCATGAAATTAATACTTCCAGAAAGAAAGGAGACTACACAGTAGAGAAATACCTGAATAAAATCTGAGCTATCCTAGAATTAATCTGAAAAACTCATTTTGTAGCATGTTACACAGAAAATTAAGTTGTTGCTATTTTGTACATTAAAAAACCTCCACAAATCTGAGACAAAGTTATGACAAAATACTACTCCTTCTGATGACACTGTTAAAAAAATCCTTTACTTATTAATTTGTTTTTCAAAATTAGCCATTTAAGTTTCATGTTCCTAATTTTGGGATCACTTCTATTTTTTATGCCACAAAGAGAACATCTGGCTGCAAGGTATCAGAAAAAGGACAATACCAACATGGTCACATTGAGCAACAGCTCTTTGAAATGCAATCAAGCAGACAGTTGTATCATTAAATTATTTATTTTAACTTCCTGGCCAAGAAACAAATGCCAGATTCCTCCTCTTGAATTATTTTGAAGCTCAAATAGTATCTCAATACTTACTGAAAGGTTAGTGGTATTTGGAACATACTGATCCTGCTCCCCCAGCAGTACATCAATCACAGGGTGCCTCCCATTTTTTATAATTATTTCTTGACGACTATCTTGCAGAATCGGTCTGCGAAAAGAGACATTCATTTAAATGTTTAAACTCTTTAAGAACTACAAAATGAACAAACAATACAAAACTCCCAAACTGGAGGGGGTAGCAGAATGTGCACCACTGTACCAACTTCTGCAAAGTGCCACCTTTCAAAGATACATTTCATATTCTCAAAATGATCTTGCTGGCAAACTGCCCCACGCTGTTACTGCATTAAGTGTTAACTGGAGCATGGGGAGTACAGAACATTGTCCAACTAAGTATATTACAACTGGTGACACATTAAACCACACAAACCAAAGACTACAGTATGACAGAGCTGTAACTCTCCTATTAACTTTAGCAGCTCTCATGACCTGACAGCCACTCCCAAACATATGTTACAGCCAAACAGATACAAAGCTCCTTCTATAGACAGTTACTAAGTTGAAACACTGAAAGGACAGCACCTTTTCAAAAATTACTATGTAAACCAGATCAATACTACTTACTTACTTCTCTCACCTCCAAACTATGTAAAAAGTTTTGTCTCAAATGCTTCCACCTTAGCTACAAACTTGTTTACGTATCTACTAATATAACATGTATAATTCTGTGCTACATATCTCCATGTCTGAAAAGCTCCATCTCAAAGAGCTGTATTTTTTTCACAGAATAACAAAATGCAGAAAGAGCATGTTCCACTGAATTATGGCTATGGTTTCTTTTTGTTCTATGCAACCTAGGTTTGCTTTTTCACCATAAACTGCAGTGCAGCATTCAATGGAGAGGTAAATGTTGTTTCACATCTCAGCAACATTTTCCTACACTAGCAGTACAATCACTGAAGTAAGAGCAGCAACTTAAGAAAGTGGCAGCAGCTGAGCAAAAGACAATACTGGAATAAAGCCACTGAATTTTTTGACTGGAAATTAACTAGCACATTGTGTGGACTTTAGTGGGAAAACAAGATGTGAGGATTGTGATTTTTCTTGGGCTGAAGAATGAGGATGCAATTTGAAAGGAAAATGGAGAAAAAATTAAATGGCCTATTAGGAATACAAGACACTGGGGGAACCAATGCAAGCTGATAATGGTGTGGGTTTTTTAGCATTAAGGGTATTTCCATCAGTAGTACAGCTGAAATGAAACTAATAGAGACAGAGATTTAGGCCTTGGGGACAAAGAAAATAAACTTCACTCTCCACCTGCTGGATGGGAAAGTTGTTTGGAGCTGTAATACGATGGTCCATAAAGGGAGGAGCACATACCTAGAAGCACTTCCTCCTCCACCTCTCTACTTTGCATGCAAGAGAGGGAGATGACAGCTGAACTGTCCTTTTGCTATTTTATAATTCTGCCCTCCTCTTTGGAAATAATTCCCTTTTTCTAACTGCTTAAGCCTCCTTTCACTTAACTGTAAGACAGGATGTGGCTTCAGGATGCCATGAGCTTTGCTGACCAACTGACCTGTTTTCAGACAATGGGGCCCACAAAAGGAGGGCCTCAGCCACACTCATTCAAAAGGTCTTCTCTGCCCTTTGTTCCCAGAATCAGACAATCATCTGTCATGCAGTAGGAGAATAATAATTTTTTACAAAATCTAAATTGCCCTGGAATGCATAACATGTCCTTTAGTCAGGTACTACCTTTTCAACAGCATTCCTAAAACAAACTCACAGTCTGCCAAGTAGATACTCAAACGTCAGGTAATGATCTCTGGATTACCTAACCATCATCTTTAGGTATCTAACTGCTGCCTGAAAGCCCTGATGTTGTGCACCTTCCATGTAAAGGATGTGTCTCCCAATACAGGGGTCCTGAGACACCTCCAAACTGTAAGAAGTGCTTACCTCTCTTCAACAACTGTGTGGAGCACCTGTTCTCCTGACTTCATGACTCATTTACATGCTTCAGGTAGGGTGGTATAAAACAATCCTCACTTCATCAAGAAACATTAATCTGAATTACTTAAATTAGTAACATTGCAGTCTCATCTTTCCTTTAGTAGCCCACCAAAATTAATTATTGACATCTTACTTGCAGCTGAAGATTCACTGAGAAGCCTCTTCCCTGCCAGTTTATAAGCTCTAAGCCACTCTTTAGAATTCAGCAAATTATTTAAACACTGCACAGTGATTTAATCAGATTTCAATTTGTTTCTCATCTGAGTATAGAGAAATAAGTGAGCAATTACATTCAAAGAGATCTTGGTACAGGCACACAAGATCCCAAGAGTCAAGAAGTGATCAATATTATCTTTAATGCTGTATAAAAACAGAAGCACATGTAAGTTGATTTCCCTTCATCTATACAGATTTAATACACGTCTTGCCTTATTTCCACAGCTTCCAAATGTTACTGATTCATATGGTTATTCCTAATCAATTGTCTGAGCACTTACAGTCTGACCCCACAATGACAACATTTAAAAAGTTACACACAGCACTTTTCAAAAGAGAGTATGTGGACTGTTTGGCAGTGGGAATGGCTGAGGACTGAAAATCAACAGCCCTTGCATGGGTGCCTACCTTAGACATCAGAAACAGTAAGTGGTGGCCCTTGGACAGCACTTAGCAAGCTCAAGAAGTGGCTCAGTGAGTGTCCAGCTCCCCTGGGGACAGAGGTATGGAGGAAGGTACCCAGTGAGACTGACTGTGTGGGTGCAAGAGACATGGTCTCGTAAGGGGAGGAAGACCTGAGTTGCAGGGTGTAGAGGGTCAGGAGCTAGCTATGGATCACCCTCTGGCAAGGCAGGATTTGGTGGTTCATGTCTCTCCAACAAAGACAGCAGGGGTAACAGCCTCAGCACCACCAGAGTCTCAGGCAGTGGTGCCCAGTGTGCACGTGTGGGTCTTGGCAGAGGGAGATGCCCAGCTCATCAGATCCAACACATGATCCTAGGTGAGGCATCATCACTGTCCTGGAAGCTGGCACTAACAGTTACCTATTATTTACCTGAAATACATCTTTGAAACATACCTCATGCATCTTAGAATCCTAGATATTAAAAAATACAAATTCAGACCTTTCTGAAGAAAGAAAGGAAAAAAAAAAAAGAGGAGAAAAAGAATTTCCACGCAAAGTCTAGCATAGTTTACATATATGTGAGGTATCACATACTAGACTCAGGTCAAACAATAGATAAACTTAATGTGTCCAATCTGAACTGCAATGTTTACAGATTTGCATCAGACAGAAGTGTTGCTTTGGAAAATCAGATTAAGTTGAAACTACTGTAAACAGTTTTAATAATGCATTTTATCATAACAGACATTAAAATCAAATTTACTTTAAATACTCTCTTACGATTCCCTATAAAATCCTAAGTAAAAATTAAGAATTTATTACCTGCAATAGTCTCCTTGTTTGGCCACCTGGGCCAATGAGAACAGACAGTCGACAGTTGCTAGGTGACCGATTGCTTTAGACACAGGGTGATAATGTTCACTAAAATGGCTATAGAAAAACAGGGAAAAATAATAGGAGGAAGAAAAAAAGAATAATTTCATACAGATACAAATGTACTGTCAAAATATACCCCATGAATGTTTCTTACAGGGCTCCAATGGTCTTTAAATTACTCTGAATTCAAACCTCCCAGTAGTGCATTAAGTTTCAATAGGAGGACGCCATCGTAATCAACATGGACTTCATGCTCCCACTGTAACAGTGAATTATTTTTAAGCACAAAAAAAGCCGTCAAAATTAAATTCATTAGGTAGTACATAAAGGGTCTACAGTTGATACCTGCTGCCTAAATGAGGTCTATAAAAATGCCACTGTTTATCACAGTGGCAACTGCATCCCAACTTCCAATTCACTTCAACTGTAAGTTACAGTAAAAAACAAAAAAACACACAAAAACCTAAAATGTGGTATCTACAACAGAAAATTCAAGAATTCATTTCCCATTTTTAGTATTGCTTCCCCCAGTACAACAATGACATTACCCAATTTTCCGTAGAATCCTTGAGAATTAATTTTTTTCCTCTCCCTCAAAGATACAACACAGAATATAAAACCAGCAGGGGACCAAAATTTAACAAATAAAAAGATAGATGAACTGATGAAGAAAAAAAGCACTTCCTTCCTACACAGGTCTTTCCCTGTTGTATGCTGCTACCCTACAACACTACTGAAAACAGCAAAGTGAACAGGAAAAGCAGCATATCTAAGTGAAGAAAAGTTAAAATAGGTCTGCTCAAAACTTCATAGCTCGTATAGGGATAACAAATTATTTAACAGAACTATTTTTAGAGTATTGCAAAGGCACCACATCTGCAGAAGCGTGAGCTGGAATACTTCTCTAGTTTCTACCAAATACACAGAATTGCTGGATTCCTACTAAAAGTCAAACCTTGGCATCAGGTATGTCCAGTGACACAACTTCAGAAGAAACGTTTTAAGTTTTTGTAGAGGGAGGAAAGGCATAAGTGAAATGGAGCCAAATACAATTGTGTGACATGGAGGACAATTTCAGTAGGTTTGTAACTCATGGAAATAAAATAACCAGATACCTGAAAAATTAAAGGTATTCAGAAATTTGAGTAGTATTTTTTTTTAAACTCCCTTTTTAAAGATTCTTTGGCTAAACAGTCAAATAACTCCATTCAAAACTCTGATCTGAGACAAAGAAATCTCCCATGCCTGTTGTAAGGGACAATAACATTCCCATTACTTTCTAGCAGACTCACAGTCAGTCACAGGGTTAGCATATAAAATACAAGGCTGTGGAGAATCATACTCAAGTGTGATTCTCCACAGCACCCTGAAAATTCCTCACTCAAAAACTGTAAGTTAGACTGCAGTTGTGCTTAATTTATTAGTATGTAGTAATGGCACACTTAACAGTAAAGCCATACTCTATTTCAATTAATGTGAAAAGTGAATTTGTTTAGCTTGTATAATTTTTTTTTTTTCATTTCACTTATATTGTACTTCAATAACAAAACTACTAGATTCAGTTTCACCCATTTGCAGTCAGTCGTACTTTCAGGTTGTTAATGATGTGAAAATTTCAAATTCTGAGAGCTACTGTATATATTTATTAGTGTATTTTCATCAGAATTTTAACATCTAGAGGAATCACTGCTGGTCTCAGGACAGTCTGCAAAGGTCTTGCCTTCAAGTGCTTTAAACTGAAGAACAGTATTTTAACGGATTATCTTTACAGTTGTGGGCAACTGAATTAGAAACTTTTTTTTTTAAGAGAAACATCTTTTTTTTGTTCCATTCTTATAGCAAAAAAAAAAAAAAAAATCAATGACAAACCAAACAGACCAAACAATGATAAAAACTGACTCTCTTTTCTAAACTCACTCTAAAAAGTTTAGCCATTCAGCACTGCAGTCAAGGACTAGCTGCTCCCGGAGCTGATTCAGATGTCTGTAATTTTCTATAATAAAAGGAGCGTGGAAACGGCTGACAGCTTTTGTGCTGGAAGAGAGAGAAAAGCCAAATAGGAAATCAAGGTTACTAAGCAATCAGTTACACCATGTACATGCAAAATTGAATTAGTTTTCTTACTCTCTATAAGTCTTGAAAATGGATGTTAAAAAACATATGTTCTTTTAATGTGTTATCAAACTCTGTTGATACCAATGATCTTTATTGTGAGTAGAGTGATTGGTGACTGCACCACTGCTCATTCAGAAGACTTTTGAAATGTTTTTCACAATGTAGCATATATGACTGAAGTTTATATATTTCTCAAAATTCTGTTCAGCAATATGCTGCACAAATGGATGACTTTTCTGCGACTGATTACATATACAATGGACTCCAAGAAAAAATTTTCACTTTAAACAGAAAAACTTCATGATAAGACTGAGATAAATTTAGTAAGCACAGACTATCTTGCTTGTTTCCATTTGAGGCATTTTCATTAAAGGCTCACTTTGGCACTCCAAGGCATTCTTTTACAAAATCCAGATTAGCTGTAATTTGCTTTTTATTATCTTAACTCTGTGTCTAATCTGTACACTTTTAGTATCAAATTCTTGCATAGGGGAATAGAACATCACTTCAGAGTTCACCTTGATTATGCCTGTTTCTGGTGTGAGGTATCTGTGCTCATGCATTTTACACAGGGCCTTGTAAAGGACACAGCATTTACATGGACTCTACACACTGTAATATTAAGATATCCAACTCACTTAATAACAAGACACATGATTGAAAAGAAAAAAGAGCCCACTATGTAAATCAGTCCATCTCTGTTCACCTACTGGAAAAGTATTCAAAACTGTCTAAAATCATATAGCACTAAGTACCAAAGCAAGCAACACTTGTTGGTATAAGTAAATAAAATGACATTTTAAATACACCAAGTTTATTGATGAGTACAAACAGATATCTGTACAGCTACCTTTACCCTTCTGAATAAAATAAGAACAGTCAAAATTCTGCAAAAGATTTGCATGTACCAACTATAGGCACAACTGAATCAAGACCACAGTTTTGACACCAGTACACCTACTTTGAAAGATTAAGCAAGTAATACAGTGCATCAAGTATCTAAGACATAAAAAACCAAAATACTTTATGATATCAACTTTTTTTTCAGTTAGATTTTGTTTGCTTTTAAATAAAACTTCTTATGGCAATAAATCAGCATAATAATTTCGGTTCATTGGCTTTCAGTTTAAAAAAAATGAACACCAACACATGATGCAATAAGTATACATAATTATTTGTAATATAAAAATTCTCTCTTTTTTTTTCCTTACATATTAAAATAAAACAAACTTCAAAGACATTTTACATACCTACTAATCATGACCCAGTCAGATGGCACAGATGATTTATGGGAATTCTTGACTTCAATCAGAAACTAAAATAAACAGAAATGCGATATTACACATCATGGGAAGTTAGGCAGACCACAGAACAATAAACACCAGGTATCAACAAATCTTTATACATCAGAGGAAAATGATATTCAGCCTAAAGAGACTGAGCAGACCAGAAACTAATGCCCTTTTTCCCCCAGAAATGAGGATTATGGCTTACGTGTTTTCCATCAAAAGAGCAACTCCTATCCTGAGCTGTTCTTGTGCCTTACCATGTTGCTGCCCTATCTCTTCTCTTCTATTCCTCCATGCACTAACACTCTCTCCTCAGCTCCTTCTTATCAAGCCACAACCAGACTAAGGACATAGCACTGCAGTTCTTAATTCACCTAAGATGCTTTTCAAATATTTGGTACTGCAGAAACCCTGAAATAGTATAGCAACACACGAAATGAGATGATGTCTTAAACTGGGTAGAAGCAGAGATCTGCAAAGATTTGAAAGGAAGCCATCTGCTGCTGCCGCTACTGGTATTGATGATGTGTTGGTATTACAGTTTTTTCTGAAGTTCAGCTCAAAACAATTAAACATGCTGTGTTTATGAAAGGAAGATACAAAATAGTACCACATTTGTGTCTATGCTGGATACCCAACTGAGCTCAAAACAGTCTAGATTAACACAGCCAGTTCAGTTTCTTGGTTTGTTTGCGTGGTTAGTGAGAAACAAGCAGAGAGGGTGCAATCTTCTTCAGAACAACAAAAGCATTTGTTTTTCCAGATCTTAGCCCTAATAGATAAATAATTGCAGTATTAAATAATCTAGGACTAAAGTACTGTTTATGCAATGCAAGAAGCAAATATTTACCAAACATAGCAATTTCTCTCTAAATCTTGACTGCAATGCTATTATTACATGGACAGCTTTCTGTCCTGTTTAGCGCACACTATGAATTACATGAGAGGTCTGGAAACAAAAGACAAGATACATCCGGGTGTAACCTCACATTTTGGGAGGGATACATGTCAACTGGATCTTCACCAGAACTCTTAATAGGAATTTAATAAATTTAAGTTAACAAACTACAGGGTGAGTCTGAAAATCCAACCACATATTCAGAATCATGGGTTTAGGGCACACACAGAGGATCAAGTAGTTTTGGGGGGGTTTTTTTGTTGTTGTTTTTTTTTTTTTTTTCCTTGAAGAGTTTTCTGGCAGCTTCCTTCTCTTTCAGAACTAGCAAACCATAAACGTGCTTCTGCTTAGGTCTGTTGTAGTATTCAAACACTTCTTCACAACTACCAGAGCACTTGAGGAACATAAGAAGAATATACCACACAGATCTGAGGAAGAGCTGAACTCAAAGAGACTCTTGTTACGACTCTGCTCTGGTCTTCCCACACAATTCCCTTTCCATTACTTCCATTCCTTTAGAGCCTTCCTTTCCTCACTGATCATCTTCTCTGACCCCTCTTTGCACTGCCTCTTTTAATGACTCTGAGACACCCATATCAGATGTAATTAAATTACAGCTGTCCCTGACCTCTGCAGCTACTTTCACAAATATACCAAAATAGATCTCTCTGCCTCCAATGGTTTCCAAGCCATTCCCTGCTACAAAGGCTTCCTCTCTTAAAAGCATGTGAAGTGACTGCTGGTTTCTAAAACTCTCCTGTCCAGTTCACATCTGACTACTTCCTCAGATGCTTTCCTCTCTTGGATCAGTTCTGTTCTCCTTTGTTTCACACAGGCATCATCATCCACCTCTTACTCCAGCCTCTGTAAGAGAAACCTTTCAAGTCATGGTTCTTCCCTTTCTGACACACTACTCAAGCACACACTTCCATGTTTCCTCTCGTATTTCAGCATCCAAGTTAACAGCCTGCCCAACACTTTAGCCACGTTTCCTCTTCTCAGCTTCACCATCAAAAGAAGTATCTTCCTGACAGCAAATGCTGCTACCTCTAATTCACCCCTTCTCACGTTCTCTCTCACTTTCAGCATTGCCCGTCTGTTCCCTGCCGTGTCTTTTGGGTCTTTCTTAGCTTCCTAAGTCCTCAATGTGACAGTGACCTGCTTCCAGATCTTTCACTCCCTGTCCTCGCTGATACATCTCTATTACTCTCAACTCTCATTCAGTTTCCTGACTCCTTTCTTTTCCAAATTTTCAATAGAGTTTTTCCTGGGCTTCCTACTCTCAGTTCCCAAAGGACAATGCTAAACAATGATACCTCACTGCTCTTTTCAATTCCCCCACAAATCTGGCAGGACCTGTCATGTGCTGGTTTTTTTGCACTAAACTTCTCAGCTTGCTGGAGTATGGCCTGCCCACACTTTCACAGCATCCAGCAAACAAAAGCTCCACTCTGCAGTTACCGTTTCTGAGAATTAAAAGTAAAATAACATCTATCACTCTTTAATGCTGTTCCTTTTCTCTCCCATCTTTCAAATTACAGTCTTAATCAGTACTTACAAATCATTTTACCATCCTTTAAATTAATCTAATGCTATGCTTCCTGGTTCTCTGAGAGTATTACAGCACTTAAAAGCCACATAATTAACCTTGGAAGCATGCGGTTGTTTTTACATATACAAAAAAGCAAAGCATTACTGAACCAAATTCAACTGCACTAATGCATTTTTATTATTTAAATCACCAATATAATAGACTTAACAAAAAAAAAAGTGACACTGTCACAAAATTGTTCTTTAAAGTTGTACAAAAGATGGTAGTCAAGATGCGTCAATGACCTCATCAAGTATCATACTAAGCAAAGCGAGTTCTGGTTAAGCCCAGCCTCCAAGCTACCTTGTAGACAAGCAAAGGTACAGTCATACACAACAGATAGCATATTACCTCTTGTCCAGAAACTGTCACATACTCTGCTGAAGGATTCTTAATCTCTTTACGAATATCTGGCAGATGCAATTGGATTTTAGAAAGCACATCCTGGATCTCCTCCTTTTTCTTTCTGATAACAGGGAAGTCGGTAAGGTCCTTGAACAACTGGGTTTTGTCTCCAGTCCTGCCCATGAGAAGCATAAGACAAAATAACTGTAAGACTAAAGATACATTCTCCAATTCTACAGTCTGCATTCGTATTTTTATTTGTTATTCTCATTTAACACCAGCTTTATTCTCCTCTAAATACAACTTTTCTGTTACTTGGTCATAGTACAGTGCATTTACTGAAAGCTGTCATACACACTACAAAAATAGAAAGGCACTTTGTATATGAACTCTAAGAGGCTACACCAAGACAAAAGCCCCTCTCTAATGTGCTCAAAACCAATCTACTCCTGTTCTTTTCCACCCTATCACATCACACTCATTCTTTTATACCAAGCCCTGCTGACTTTTTTTTTTGTCATCTCTGAATGTGCATCCTGCAGCCCTGTTTGTTCTCCCTTGGTTGAGTAGAACAAGAAAAGGAAGCACAGGAAAGACCATTCCCTTCTGTCTCAATTCATATTTCTGAAATGTAATTAATGCCCCAACCTGGAGCAACTTGAGTGCCAACATCATTTTTATCACGAGCTTTACATCATTTTTGCAAAACATGGACACAGATTGTACAATTTTTTCACATATTTAGAATTTGGGCAGATTTTCACAAGGACTGCAAAGAAAAATCTCTTCCACAAGGCCTTCATCAAAGCAGAATGTCATCAGGCATAAAAGATGCCTCAGAGTAGCTTCCTTCTTTTATCAAGAAAAGATAAACCAGAGCATTTTTTAATACATGCAAAACAATGCTCTTTTCTAGTCTCTATGTCAGACAATGACAATATTGTTTTGGCTGCACTATCACAGCTCAGGATTGAAACCTGAAACAGACTTTAAAATGTTTAAAATTGAGGAGCTGAAAAAACTATTAAAAATATGGTTGTCATCAAAAATAACAAAAATTTGGCTTATCCTAATAAGTATCAGGCAAACAATAAAAAGTAGTGCAATCAGCCCTAAGGTAATAGGAATATACATTTGTATTTTAGATAAAATACAAACCTACCAGTTAATTACATAATTACCCTGAAATCTAATATTTGTAGAGCAAGTAATTAGCAAACTGAAAGTAATAAAACATGGAAGTAATAAAAAGTCTAATATTCTATCTACTCCAATACCCCTTTGCCGGAGAATAAAACTACAACTGGAGCCAGTGACCAGACAGGTGACACAAAGCTGTGTTTTGATTTTGCTTTACATGGATATAGTTCTTATGTAAGTGGCAGTAAAGATGCCATTTTAAAATACAATATTAATTTTTAGAAACGATTTTGTGCTAATTAGACCTGTTTCCATGGGAATGCAAGGAAAAAAAGATCGCTAGTAGCCAGCAGCTGACTGTGAAGACTGTCACTGCTATGTGATGCCTACCAAAAATTTTAAAGTTGACAGTTTTTAGAAAAAAAAATAAATCTCAAAGTCCCCTGGAGCAGAGGGATACTTTTGAAAATCACTACAGGATTTTATCCATATCACATAATAAAACTAACACATGATGCAGGATACGTATCTGTGCACAAGTGTATGTGTGCACGTATGTATGCGAGTAGTTGTCGTGATTTCTATTAAAGAAAGGTTTTAGAGTACAAACAATGTTGCCACACAACTCTGAGATACATAAAGGCCAAAATGGAAGCTATTTTAGTCATCCTGAATAAATACAAATAAAACATATATATTCTACAGATCAGTGATGGTATCTTCTACTTATAGTATCATATCTTATTTTATTTACTATTCTAGCCATCAACACAGTGACAGAAAAAAAATATAAATCTGTATTTTAAACCTGCCTACAGTATATTTGATATAATTGAGCTACAGTCTGTTTTGTCATAACTTGCCACAATTATAATTGTATACCATGTGTCAGTACAAATCTCATAATCCCACCTGTAGGATTATGGGCATAGTGAACTTTTTTACCATTCACAGTGTCTAAATTTATACACCTTGCATCTGTCTCTAACTTAAACACAAATAAAGTTCTAGGCTTTAATTTGTAAATTTTTAAAATTTTATATCTCAGCTGGAGAAATAAATTTATAAATAAATTGTATGTTTATTTTCAGTCTGATTTGGAAATAAAAGACCAAGACTATGCTGCCCCAAAATAACCTAACGTTAAACTACATACCACATCTTTCATCGAAGAATCTCTAGGTATATGACAGTCAATTATATCTCATAATGTTACAAGAGGAAATGTTGAAAGTTAAATGAAACTTGTTCCAATCAGGGAACTTTAAGATGATTGATACTGATACTGACTGATACTGATTTGGTGTTCAGGATGTCCTTTCAACATGTTGTGTATTAAATTACACTGAAAGGACCCAAAAAATCTGCAAAGTCCTCAGAAAAGTTGGCTGTGCAAGCTAAACTGTCTCTATGCCTACTACCATGAGGGAGTCTTTTTTAGAAGATTTTATACTCCTTTTCCAGTGTAAGAGAGTGACTTTTCCTGGCCACAAGGTATTATTCTAAATCCTGTCCCAAAAGTGTTTTACATATCTGTCCCTTACTGAACTTATGTTTTTGCTATACTATGCTGCATCTTAAGCCTCCTGTCCCCTCTTCCTCCATTTAAAGCTAGGGATAACAATGGGAGCAGAAGTTCTTCAGAAAAAACTGTACACAACAAATTATTTAAAGACATTCTCCCTTACAGTGCATATATAGTTCCAATTTAGCATCTTCTTTCACCTACCTTTTTTTTTCTAAGGAAAAGGATAGAATTTTTTTTGAAGGAAGGGATAGAATTAAGATAAAAAAGGGCAGATGGCTACCATACTTTCAGCTCTCCATGACTGCAGGAAGGCAATTGCAAAGAAAACCATGATCACACACACAGCCTTAAGTGGGTGCTCATTTAGTCATTCTCTAAAGGGAGTCCATGAACAGGGCCACTAACCCTGGAAATGCTCTGATGGGGTACAAATCACACAGTCTACATAGAATCTTCAAAGCTATTAAGCATCTTATTCTCTCTCATTAGTGAACACATAAAAAGTTTTTTCTTGACAAGGGTGGGGGCTCTTAAAGCTTTGATTAAGTTTCAGAAAGACAGTAAAAGGCATACTCCTGAAAACAAAGCAGCCACTCTGCTAAAGGTCAAGTCTCTCTTCAAAAAGAATAGCTTGTCTGTTTAAAAAAATCAAAAAGCTGTTAAACAAATTAACATGAGCAAAACGTATTTTGCTCTACATTCATTCTCCAAAAGAGCTGAAAAATCTTCAAAAAAATTATTCAGCCTGAGGCAGAAACTCACTAGGCAAAATACTTGCTTTCCTAGTTTAACTTTAAAAAAAGAATATAAGCTGCAGAAAACAACCATCTCTGCTTTAACTATAAGCCACCTATACATCCCTAAATATAATACTAAGATGTATTAGAACAAATCACACAATTTGGATAACTAAGTTTGTTTAGACAGCCTATGAGGCACAGAAGATTAATCAGTTTCCACTACTTACTTGGCTGCTTCTTCATTAAGGATCTTTAAATAATGTTTTACTGGGGAGAGAAGTTCTGGGATTTCCAACAGTGCATTTTGTAATAGAGGAGTTTTCACATGAGAATGTATGGCTGGAACAAGAGCTTGAATTTCCGAGTGCAGGCGAGACAAGGTGCTGACTATCAAGAAGAACTCTTGGGTTGAGCACTGAGAAGGGAAGCAGTGTCTAAATTATGACAATGTATAATATTTTCATTAAATCCTACAGTCTTTTTTGCTTTTTGAAAATGCAACAAAACACAGTCAAAATGTATGGCATGTAACACAACTGCATGATTTCATCACACTGACAAGGTTAATAAAGCATACTAATTGTTTTAACCATTGCTGTTAGGCATCAGTTGAGACCTGATCTCCAATATCCCTGTTGCTGGATAAAAAACACGTGCAGTAGACAAACAGCAGAACAAAAATGGGCTAATAATGTGCAAACAGCAAAACTGCATGTCGAGTAACTTTATGCGTTCCACAACTTGTCCATACAAGCCTGTGCATCTGTGTGCTGTTACCTGAATCCCCAGGCTGCTGTTTTGGCAAGAAAGGGTTTGAAAAGACAAGGTCAGGCACAGAAAGGGAGAGTCTTGGAACAAGAACACAGGAAAGAAAAGGAAAAAAAAACACCAAACCACAACCCACAGGAACAGAAAATCAGCAGTCACTGCTTAAACTGCTCGTAACTACTGCCAGCTTCAGCCTTTGGCTGGTTACCCCCGAGGCCTGTGTGATGAGGAGACTAAAAAGAAAACACTAACGTGGTCTTTGTCTTTCATCCTCTCCTCACTACTACAGCATAATGAAAGAGATTTTTCTATCTCTTTTAGGTAGTTAGCCAGGGTATCATTGAAAGGGAACCTCACAGATTAGAGCCAACAGCACACAGAGCTTTTAGAGCTTGCTTCATGAAATCCACAGAGAAGAAGCATATTAGTTCCCTTAAGGCAGCTTCTCACCAATGACTTGTAAAAGAATCTCTTCTTTCTTTTCTAACTTTTCTGATTTTTTTTAATTTTTCCATTAATACTACTTCTGATGTGGCTCAAGTATTTTCCTGTTAGATTCTATACATTCTCCTGCATTAGGAAGGTGTGTTACCTTAGATCATTTTAAAGAATTAGGACTTTGCAAGCAGTTAACCACCTAACAAAACAATCCACCTCCTGCCACACTCCTAGTCCCCTCCTCTCAGCTGACCCATTCAACTCTCAGCTACCTAAAGCACTCACAGCCCATCTATAAATTCGGTAGTACCAATTCTCTCTGAAATGGTCCTAACAGAAATAAGTTTGTGCTAAGCATATTAGCACACCAAATGGAAACCCAGTCCTATGAGACACTTCATGCCTTCAAATGCTGCTGGATTCAGTGGCACTCTAGGACATTTCCATTTCAGAAGGTTTGATAAAATCTACCTATAAATAATTATGCTGATATTTTTTCATATTTTACTGATCTGTAGAAACATTCCTTCCTTAGTTTTCTGAAATTCTCCTATTGGTCAACTGTCAGCACTGAAAAAAAACAGTTCATTTTCTTCATCTGAGGATGCCATGAGGTGGGTATGATATACTGAATGATTTTACTATCATATCATGTTCTTTGTATTTTATTTCATAAAATACATCTACACTTTAATTGTGTCATGCCTTCTCTTTCAGTTTCTCCCCAGCAGTAAATTTGTTTCTCTTTACTTCCCACACCCTTATGCAAGAACTAAGACAATTCTCTCATCTATTGCGCTGCAGTTATTTCTCCCAAATAAATTCTGTACCTGAACACAGAAACAAGTATTAATGAAAATGCTGGGATCAGAAAGGAACATTTTCTCTCCCCACATATGTAAATTCCAAATTGAGTTCACCCTGTAATGCCTACTAACCCTTCAGAACATGAAGATTGTCGAAATGCAACCTTCTGAAAATCATAAAAATTAAATTAAGGTACACTCCAGGTACAGCCTCATCCCTCTCCTCATTAAATATGCCACTACTGTGACCAGGGGTGGAAGGGTGGCCTCCACACTGTGGGAACACAAAGTATAACAAAGACACATCAACTCCTGCAGCCTTGGCAGGGTACTACAGACACAGGAAGTTCTAAGTTACTGACAAGAATAAGGCTAAAAAGAAAATATTTTATGTTAATCATTGTGTTCACTGATTTGCTCTACCATAAAGGCTACATTAACAAAAATCTAAGAAAAATCATTCCTTGCTGTTGAAAATGCATTCAATAACAAGTAAATGTAATTGAGGTGTCACAAAGCCAGTATCTGTTACACACTCTCCAACTAACCTGAAGCATGTCTGTGTACTGAAGAACTGAACTTGTAACACCAAAGAGGCGAGGCTGGTAGATACTTGGCTAAAGCAATATGCAACTTCACCACGGTACTTCATGGGATTCAGGAAAGCCAGCGAGATTATATTCTGAATGTGTCCGGACAACCTAAGTTCATCTTTGTTTCAGATCCATGTAAGTTAGGAATAGAAGACACCCACTAGGTTGTTTCTCTGCAAATGCTTGATATTTCTGCCTGAATTCTCTTTTTTCTACTCTCAGGACCTTATATTTCAAGAAACTATGTGCTCACCACTTCCTTTCAGAAACTAATGCATAATGCAAAATCCCCATGTTAAAGTTTTTTTCAGAGAGCTTAAATTTCCCTTCCATTAAATTTATACAGAAATCTCTAGTGTCACTGTTTTACACTAACTCAACTCCTCCTTTACTGTTAACACTCTTCAAACATCTCTAAACCTCCTGTTCTCCTTTAATAATCAATTTAACCAAACTATAATCTTTTAATCTTTCTTGATAAACAATGCATTATTCAGCCTCATAAAAACTTTTTTTCTCCTATGCACTTATTGCAATTTATCAACTTCTCTATGAGAATCTGGAACTTACTCTGTCTTGTAAAAGTTCTGACAACAAAGTAAAACAAAATAATAAGGCAGTAAATCTGTCAATGGCATTTGAAGTCAAAACACAAAAGAAAGGTCCGAAAGACCAAATAAATGATAATCCATCATTTTGACTCAATGTCAAAGTAAAATACAGTATGACTGACTGCATCATCATCATCATCAACCTTGATGCAGATAAAGGACAGAATTCTGCAAGACTTCCCTTGACTACAAATGTACTCAGGGAGGCACAGGCTGAGGACCTGCCACATGAAATTGCAAAGTAGGTTCCTGACAGACAGCATTAAGCAATTAATAGGAAAACCATGTCCAGAAAAGAAGAATGTGCAAATATAGACAGTAAGAAACACATCAGTTGAACACGTGGTGTTAAAAGAACAATTTCTAAAAACTGTTCTATAAAAAAGAAACCAAATAGGGACCTAATTAGTACACTATGTATCTGAGTGTGGGAACAGGAAAACGTTTTAAGAATATGTAAGCACATCTGTCTGAGTTGTTCTTTAGTAAGGGTGGTGAGGCTGGTGAAGGTGAGGCACACATGACACCCAAGCAGGCTTGGGCATGAACAAAAGATGCTGTGAACAACCATGAAAGTTACCATGAGATTTCTCAAAGGATGCTTAATGAACATGCTGAAGCTTCTCACAGCAACTGATAGCCTACACAGCACAGTAGTCATATAATGAGTTAAAACCTATTTGATTCTACTATGAGCTACAGTCTACAGTACCTCTGGAGAACAGGGAATTCAGTGTGCTCTATTGCAAACAACTTTGTTAAACACAGCATTCCCAAGAAAGAGGGGAAGCATACCCTTTTTGTGCTTATTCAGAATATTAGACTTTCCCCTGGTTTGATTTCTGTACCACTGTAGGACTTTGCATCTAAAATTTAATGGCTCCACCACAAAAATTATTTACTAAGCAAACAGATAACTTGGAACAGATGCATAAAAATAACTCTGAAACTCTGGGCTCCATTAAAGTGGGACTAATTCCATTTAAATCCTAAGTAACCTGACAAAAGATATGTAACTGTGCTATAAATTAGAAGCTTTTAAAATACAGTAGAAATTGTTTACACAGAGCAGGATTAATTGTCTCGTGTTCACAGCAGATTCTCACAAGCTTATTCAATGCTATATATGAAGTCTAATTTTGAAATGCCATCAACGACAGCTACAGCTTCTCTGGCACTAGAAAAATAACCTCAGAGTTGACAACAATGCCAAACAATAGTTTCAACCAGCAGTTTATCAAACTGTATTGAAAATGGTAAGGCAGACACTGAGAAGAATGCACAAAGATTCAGGTCTTTATGGCAGATCTAACACCCTTTCAAACAACACTGAAAGCAACTTAACCTTGTTTCCATTAGTGAAATTCGTTCCAGGAGATCTGAATGGGAGCCACACAGAACCACAGCTGACAGGCATTGACTGCTCCAAGTTAAAAGCATTTAAAATTTAAAAAGAAAAGAGAGTTGTAAAGGAGCATACATTTATCACTCCTTTCAACTGTAATAGTTACCTTTATGTTTTCAGTATAGTCAGCATACTATTTTTGATTTAGGAAAAATGAGGTATGTAAGGTTACTATGTCCCCTTGTTATGACATTACTTACATTAATCAGCTTAGCAGGGAACAATTTGCCCAAATCAGCATTTAGTGTTGCAAATCTAAAAATATCTGTGATGCAAATTCTTTGAAAGATTAAAAGTATAGTATATGTAAGTAGGAAAGAATATGTAAGTATTAAAAGTATGGCATATATGCAAGAAGTACATACTGCTATCATAGAAGAAAAATATATATAAATAAAGATTGGTGTTAGCTGAAGTCAGAAATGTATTCTGCTATGGGGAGAATTTATTTTAAACATTCTATACAAACAGTAACTGATTTCCTGAGCATATAATACAGATACTGATTTAACAAGAGAAAAAAACAAAAAGCAGAAATATAACATTTTTCTCCAAATCTTCTGAAAATTGCATCATGTTCAGTGAAGTATCAAACATACTTTCCAGGTAAGGGCACGTTTGCAGTGTCTTTCTGGTTGACAAGCTCATGTGAAAGATTTTAAGCACTTCACACTCAGCTGAGCAGTACCCTTCTCTGAGGAGTCTGAGCAGGACAATGAAACACTCACTGGAAAACTGAAAGGCAAATCCCATAACACCCTCTTTGAAGCAACTGCCAGCTTTATTTTGCACAGGTAAGCAGCCTGGTAACTGGGCAGCACAGTTTTAGAGACTCATCCAGAACTGAACAGTTTTTCTCAACTGCAGTAATTTGTGAGGAACTCTGAACAACAGAGAGCCCATGGCTGAAGTCAGGAGAAGAACAAACTGAAATGACATTTTACTACATGCCCTGGTAAGGTTTGATTATTGATCTCTCTCCTTGTGTAGAAGTTCAGTTAAAAAGCTTCACTTTAATCTGTTCTGTAAATTTGATGGCCATTTGTTATGATGATTCCTGCCCACTTTGGTGACTGAGCTTTAGTAAAAAAATAATGTTTATTGATCAAAGGGTACAAATAAGATAAACATTTATGGATTGAACCTGTATAAATATTTATCTTCTGAAACACACTGCATGAAACCAGGCATAAAACCAGCCAGCAACATCAGCATAGCCCTGCAGGACATGTTTCTGAAAGTACTGATGGCATGTTTACTCTGTGCTAGTGTTTAGACCTATTCAGGCATAAGTCTCTTGACTGCTCTCTTGCCATTCTGTGCACTCCAAGGCAAGGCTAAGCAGTCAGCACTTTAACCAATACAAAAAAAGTAAGGTACTGCCATTCATATTTCCCACTGTACTGAGAAGCAGATTACAGAAGGAAATGCATGTGGCTTAAATTTTGATCTATTATTTAGTGGCTCTTCCAGGGGCTAGATGGCATGGTTGAACTGGTTATGGAAAGCATTGAGTCAATGTGTGTCCCAACAAGATCTCACTCTGCATCACTATTAAGAAAAAACTCTTGACAGTTCCCTGCCTCTCAGCTTCCTTTTGAGGTCAGCTTCTGAAACTACTAAGAAGTCTTCAAACAGCTCATCTCCAGCCATAGTGAAGAGTGAGGCTATTCTGCTGTTGACAACATTTCTGCCTGGCACAGTACCAGGTGCTGGAGCTGCAAGATCTGAGAAGAACAACAACTATTCCTTGTATTAATTTCACTTTCCATAGCAACAGTAACATTGCTCTTGTCTCAACCATTCCCATAATCCTTTATCAGGCCAGGGCAAACTCAGAGATGGAAATACGACCTCCAAGGTAATACCTAATTCCCACCACAAGAATGGTGCTCTAATTCCAGCTTGCTTGTACCTGGGGGTAGAACAGCAATGATTTTTATTGGCTTGGCTTTGGGGAAATGGGAACTTATGGAGGGTCAGATTAAAAACTGCCAATCTGAATGATGCTGCCAATTAAGACTCAATAGCAAACCTACTGGGGAAAAAAAAAAAAACAAACCGAACCATACACAACCACAAACCACACACAACCCACAAGAATTAACAGTCAGACCAGGAAAAGAAACAATGATAATATTTACCAGAAAAGTTCCCACAAGGATAATTTACCTTGCAAAGTCAGTTTCAAAACAGAGCAGTTTTTTGCCTTAATTTTTTCTACTCCTCTAGAGGTTACTGATGCAAAGTGCATTGCACAACAGAAGTTCTGCAGTGGCTGATCTGAATGAAAGATGTTCAGAACAACTGAGGCAATCCAGCCACCTCTGTGCAGTTCAGAGGTTTCACTTCATGAAAGTTACCTCCTCAAATACTAATATCACTGAAATCTAAAGGGCCTGAAGAATGAAATCCTTGATGCCTTCACGAATTACTCCTGTGGCTGACACTAAAGCACACTCCTTTACTTAAGCCATCAGTATGGTCCACTCGGAGTTTTGGATCCCTTAATGTAAATGAAATTGCAAGGAACCTCATTTTGAACATGTGGGAGATGAACATCTGGAATTAAACAGAACTGGAAAAGCTTCTAAAGTGAGAACTGAAATCGTGGGATTCACTGTATATTCTAAAAAAATAAATATTCATGAAAAACAGGTAATCCATGTTCTTGAACATTTATTTGCTTTGCAGGGAGCTCTCTCTTCAGGTTCCATATTCCCTATCTGTCCAGACTGAAGAGTATGTCTCCCACAGTTTGCTTTCAATTCTCTATTTAAAACAGCCCTGTCTTTCAGGGGCACTATTATCTCCAAGTCCTAGAGGCCTTTAGGGATTACTCACTGCTTTGGGTACTCTCCAGAGTGTTCTGCAATGGATGATAAACTAATTTTTTCCAGGGGAAGCTAATTCATCAAAAGGTAAGTGTATGCTTGCAGCTTTTCCTCCTCATTTACCTTTCTTAAGGATTTTGCTGCAGTACTACTCTCCTGCAACTGCTTTCCAACATCGGGTTCACTAAACATATATCTTAAAAGTACCATGGCTTTTGTTAAGACAAACTATGTTGTCATCACATTTTAAAAATCACATGAAAATCCAGGGTCTCTGAATGTTTCCAATTAAATGCCAAATTTAAGGCTGAAAAAGGTAAGCAGTCCTACAACAGGAACACTTGAAGAAACAGACACACAGTGCCAAAAGGAAAAAAAAAAAAAAAAAAAAGAAGCACAGGATTGCCAGGACGTTGTGAAATAGAGATGTATCCCTACAGCCTTTATTACATATTCCTCAACCTGAAATGAGTCAAGCCATTAAAAAGTGAATTATCTAATTCCTGGACAGTTGTTTTGGCCAAACAATTGTATCATGTGGATATGATACCTTTTAGAAGATGGGGAAGTTTGTGCACATTTCCTCTTTTTATAAACTTCACTATGGCTGGACCTCTGTATTAGTTCTCTCTGAAATAGCAAGTCCTTCCATGTGCCTAGCACTGCAACACATTAGGGCTTCAAAAATTATACATTAATAGAGTTTCATATTTTCAGACAGAGGAAACCTCTGTGCTGTGCCATCCAAAGAAATTACAACTTTTCTCTCCTCCTACCCACCTATTCCTTTATCTAAAACAAACTGTCAAAACCTCTAAATATAACAGTGAAATAGAAGAACATGAAGTACTGCACAGGTGCTATTAGCACATTAATCTGCTTCAACTAAGAACTGTCAGTGCCTCATTACAAGTAATTCTTATTAAAATGTGCAAGTGAGATCCAAATTACAGAATTTATAAACAAATTAACATTCATTTGAAAACAGATAACTACAGCCAAGTGGATTCTCTTGCAAGGGTGGTTTTAGATAAGTGTACAGAATACAATGTTTTGTTTTCAAGGGAAACAATTTATGGCACAAGGACCTATTGCACCATTCCATCTCACTGAATCCAGCCACTAAATCATGAGTGCCATAGATGTTCCTCCTGTTAACATTAGCAATACAACGTACATATTCTAGAACCCTTCTCAGAAATTTCTGCTGTCAGTACATCACTGGTAACAAGTAAAAGAAGATTATACCATAAGACAAAAACCATTTTTACCAACTGGCATCCCTTTATTATGTCAGGCTCGGTCTTGCTAAGAATATAATATTTTTAAATAAACATCCAAAAGGTACGTTAAGACAGAACAATGCTATTTAAAAAAATAATAAATTAGGGTAAATATGGGTATACCTTTTTGTGAAAAACACTGCAGAGGCCTCTCTCTATGTCTGGTAGCTTACAAAGAAGATTTCGAATCTGATCAAACACACTGGATTCTGACAGGAGAATTTCAGAAACAGCATCAAGCCGGGCATTTATTTCACTGTAAAAGAATAATCAGAAGATCAATAAATAAAACTTGTATTTCTCTGGAGGAGAAGGCATGTATCTAGTGAACTTTTTCCGTTAGTTTATTTTGGGTTTGTTGTGGGTTTTTTTTGGTTTTGTTTTTTTAAACTTTGACTAAGGACACATTGTTATGAGTAGGTAGGTAGAAGAATTAAGAAACGCAGAGTCTTGGGCTTTCATTCAAGATGCAAGCATGATCCTGGATATAAGCTCTTTATCCCACCTCTATGCTCAAAACAGCCAATTACACATTTCAGTGTCCATGTCTACATGTTTTTCTAGTGACACGTAATATAAGCAACGTTGAATCCTGAATATCCAACCCTAAATTTGCAGACAAGTACCTGGAGGAGGATGCAATGTACTTTATTCCATCACAGTATAGATATTGGTCACCATTTTGCCCTTCTACTTTTGAATCAGAATCATGTTGGGGTTGTGGCTTTTTTTTTATTCCTCCTCAAAACCTGTAACATTACTGTCTGTATTTCAGAGCTGAATTCAATCAATGATGAAACACTTTTTATGTGAAGAAACAACTCCATAGTTATTTACACCTTCCTTACCACCATATTGTTACACTGTCAGAAAAGAGCTATAGAATGGAGAACCTACTATCAAGATTCACCTTGAACTACACTGCTGCTAACAGCACAGCTACAACTTCCAACACATCCCTGAACAGGCTGTAGATTGCAGGGCTAAGGAAAACTCAATTTCTGGTATTTGTGCAACCAAATTGTGTCAATGCTGCATCTTAAGAAAAGACTGAGGTTAGGGGTAGCTCTGTGGGTGTATCCATATAGGCTAGAAGTTTATCCTCAGCAGCTAGTGAACTAGTCACCAGCATGAACTAGGCATGAACTGTCAGTGCATGCAGCCCAAAGGAAACAGAGCAGAAGGGAGCTAGCCCACTGTGAGACAGCTACGAAAGAGACCTGTCGAAGCTGAACACCACAACTGCTCTGAATGTAGTTTTTCCATGTTCAGGCTTTATCTCTGAGCTAACTGTGCACGACAAAATAGAGTTAAGGAGGTTAAAGTCGTGCTAAGGTCTGCTGAGGCTTCACAACAAAAAACATCTGTTCCAGATGATGTTTCCCCAGAGTCCCTCATGAATGTCCTTCTGGGAACAGTGCATGGGTACCTGGCACACTGGAAGGCTTTAGCCAGCATTCAGGTAGTTTTGGGCAAGTAAGGCTGAATCCAAAACATAATGTTCCAACTTTAAAAATCCTCAAGACGCCCCAGTGCTTAAAAATGCCTGTGTTTTCTCCCAGAATGACAACTAAGCCTTACCACAGCCTTCTCATCTTGAGACAAGAAAGTTCAGAAATCCCCACACTGTGCATGTTTATCCACCCTTGCCGGGTAAGAATAAAGCAATCTTTGCTACTGACTCTTGAAACACCAGCCAAGTGCGTGCAAGACAAGTAACAGCCCAGCCCACGTCTGTTCTCACGGGCCTGCAAGATGCTTAGAGATCAGCCAGCACAGAGGGATAAAAAGTAAGGATGCAACCAAAATCTAAGATTTCAGGGAAGACTGACTGCCTGGCTTTTATTGCAGAACTGCCGTGCCACTCGCCGTGGTAGTTGCTAACAAATACTACCTGTGAGGAAATCAATAAAATTAGGCAGCTCCACAGGCTGCAGACATTACAACAGACAGAGGTCTCTGGCCCTGAAGACAGCTAAACTTAAGAGGCCTTGAAATTTTATTACATCTCACATGAAAGGGAGAACGTTATGACTAGATGTGCACTTGGATAAACATAAATCTAATGATGCTTAAGTGCTAGGATTTTTTTCAGTGACATACTGTTTTATACTGAAACAGTATAACCATTCTCTCATCTGGCATAAATGACACACATTCATTCCCATAAATGACACAGCAGCCTAACTGCACATACAACAGCAGGATTTGCTGTATCCCACCTGCCACCATCTACCTGGAGCACAGGTAGATGCAGTCCTCCACAGCCACCATATGAACTGGGAAGAGACTCTGCTGTCTTGATCCCAGGGCACCCTGGGAACTCAGTTATGTCTGACCTGGACAGCAGGCTCTTTGATCACACCAGAGCACCCAAAATATTCTAGTACCCTAAAATACTGTTTTTTCCCCAGCCTTGAGGAAAACAGAAATGTCAGACTTTGCAGGCTCTGCTTAGCAGCCCTGTTGCAGGTCACAAGAATACCACCTTCTTCCCCACCACTGCTCCATTCCTCCAGCAATGCACAATAGACAAAATTAAACATTTCCCCCATTCATCCGGGCATCCAGTCAACCTGCAAGCAGCCGCAGCAGAGAGCAGCTGCCATCAGTGCAACTGCAGCACAGAACACATCCAAGCTGTAAATCCGATTCCCGAGAGCCACAATCACGTCTCTGGTGTAGACTGGCAGGGTTTCTGAAAGTTATGCAACCAAATAACCAAAGAGAAAGCTGTTGGCATCCACACAGTGTATTCAAGACAGCAGAGATTTAAGCTGTGTACATCTATTAGTGAGACACTCTAAACTACAGCTGGATAACGGAAAGGAAATTGAGAAGGGTTCTATCAGTGACAAAGTCATAAAATACCCTGTGTACGCAGCTCTGGAGCTAGCAAACAGTTGCACTGACATTCTGAACAGGCAGTATCATCAGCCACAATTACATTTTCATGGAGAATTCTTAAAATTCACTCTACTTGAGACCCTGGAATGCTCCTCTGCGTGGAGGAGTAGTTAACTGTTAAATTATAAGCACATGTACCTTAAAGAAGACAATATGTGCATTATAAAAATCAGGTGTAATCATGTTCCAAAACACTGTCACTTAATTTAAATAGCACGACTACATCTATGTGGTCAATTGAAAACATACAGTCATATGCAAAATAGATGCAGATATTAAAAAAACTCCTCCCTTTCAAAGCTTAATCTGCACTTTAATCATCCTCACATATGGCTATGTAACTGCAGCTCCAGTAATCTAAAACTAAGCATCCATACAGTTTTTCTGCTTTAATCCTACAAATAAGAAAAGGTCAGGAAAACAGCATCCTGTATCAAATGACCCATTTTCTCTACCTGTAAACAAAACATAGTGGGATTCCTATTCCAAAAGCCAGCACAGTGAATAATTACGTAAAACTCCATGTGTATTGAGGAAGGTAGGACAGGGAAGAGATACATTAAAAACAGCTAGATGATGAATTTCAAAGTGTGCTTTAAACTTCAAATGTTTATGCTTAAACCAACAAACATTTAATTGAGCACCGATATATTATACTGATTAGTTGTTAAACCACCTCAAAAGAAATTTGTTCTACACTGCACAGTTATTCAGCATACCTGATGTACAGTTTGGGGTTTCTAATCTCTGAGTGATCTAGAAAACTTGAATCTAATGTTACACAAAGGAACTCAACAGCTTATGCTAAGAAAGTAACTGACATTTCATAAACTGGCTACTACTTTGTTCCCTATTTAGGTGCAGTATTAGCCTTTTCTTTCCCACCTGTATACACCATGGCAGCAATCTCAGCTCTGTCTGATTTTCCAAACAATCCCCAGTAAGTCAGTTGACTAAAAGCAATATGCTTACTTCTGCTGTACTCTCCATCTACTAATAGCATCGTTAATATAATACTAATGTATTTAAACATAACAAAAATTTAGCTGCAGAAATTTTTATTCTAGTAATTTAAAACAACTACTTGAAATCAAATAATGATATGCCCCTGTATTATTCTGCTGCTACATTTGTGAACTATATGGAAAATGAGCAAATACAAAAATATTTGAACCCTCAACTAAGAATTATTTTGACAAAGCAGAAGGCTGCAGATATGAAAGAAATGCACTGAATTACCACCTGAATGTTTCAGCAATCTGAACAGGGTTGCTGGTTGGCTAACAGATCTGCTGATCTCTCATACAGTGAGGCAAACCTAGCATTTTCAGATGTGATAATACATGATTACATTTAAAGCAGAGGGAAACTGATAATGTAACTGCTACATAAGAACTGTCATACAAGATATTATTTTTCAGTGTTATACAAGGTATTATATGTAATGCATACAAGGTATTATTTTCAGTCATATGAGGTATTATTTTTCTAAAAGGTAAATAACTACAAATTTGTCAGAAATCTTTGGGCCTACGATAAATGTTGAGTGTGAGTTCATTCATCAGGGTAAGGACATAGCTCAATCACAGTGAATGCATAAAACTGAAATTCAGTTTATTGAAGCTGTTTAGAGACCACAGCAATATGAAAAACTACCAGTCACATGAATTCAATACCTGAAAGGATATAATGAAGGGTATGAAACAACAAAGGTTGTTTTCCATGAACTGCATTATCTAGATCAAAGCCTAGCAGCTTCCCGCCTAACCACAGCATTTCAAAGAAAATTTATTACTTTGGGAAAACATTGGGAAAATGCAAGATACACACAGTTACCAGTTATGCCTGAGTAAGTCCCTGAACTGCAAATTGTTGAAAGCTGGGACAGTGCTCTAAGGAGCTAACATCACCCAGCTGCCCTGTTCCCATACTCTCCTCTTACACTGGCTACTTTCAAACACAAGGTGAAGGCTATTCTGACTTTTGTTGGTTTATATGTTGTCTCACTTAGACATTTTGCTGTTTTCTTAACCTTCTTTCAAAACACATTTTATAAAGGAAGACTTTATAGCAGTTAAGTTAAAGACCCTGTTAAATAGTACAGAGTCTTTTCTGCTTTAGACCACTGGTCTTTGGTAACAAGCCATTAATGCCATCAAAACACAAAGCCATGGTAGAATTAACACTATGCAATAAATACACTGTTTATGTCTTTCAGTCTTTCTTTTTATCTATCAGCTTTTTTACTGAAGTGGTTGAGTTAGATTCTGGCTAACTTTATGGGGTAAATGCTGAACTGTTAACTTGTGCTGTGACTGCTGTAGTTCTAGGCATTAGCAAGAGTGAATA